AATTAAGTTTGAGTTAAGTAAGTGTTATTTATGTTAGATTTGAGTAAGTGTTGTTGCAGTGTTATGTAAGTTATTGTATTTTGTGTTTGTACTGTTCTAAACGATAAAGTTTTATGTGTCATTTAATGTTTTTATTGGTTTGAATCTGTGTGTTCGTAAATAATTTGATTCTCAGTCTCGCTCAGTTCCGATCCTATTATGTTCTCTTTATATATCAGGTTCGCAACTAAAACAAGTGAGTATAGTCACTAGTGGAACATATTTAGCCGTAAATGCCTTAGATAAAGGAAGTGATTGATTATATTAGAATAACACAATTACTTAATTCTTTAGACAAAAAGTACAACTATAAATTAGAAGTATTACAACAAACAACAAAAACAAACATCTAATATAAAGGGGAAACGCGCGCATAATTCCTTAAAAAAAGAAAATAAAAATATATCAGCGTTAAAATAAAATTAAAAATTATGTAGTATAATACCAGATTCTTGTCAGGAAGTGGACATTCTATTGATTCTTATAAAAATTCAATACTCTGGTATTTGACGTTTCGAATGTTTTAATGTTCATTTCTAGTAACTCCCGTCGGGGTAACATCCTCCAAGCAAATAAAACCCACCTCTACGTCTGCGTTAAAGCCTTCTTATGTTTCAACATTTGAGAGGACATACTACTGCTCAGCCAAATACCCTAACTTAATCCAGTTGTTAATAACTATTAATAACAATAATTGTTAGTTGTTAACAACTATTAATAACAATAATAATTGTTAATAACTGTTAATAACAGTCAGTTGGTAATTGTTGTTATGGCAGTCGGAGGGCAGTCGGCAAATTTAAATAAAGAGGACCTTTTTTTTTTTTGTCCGCAAAAATTGTAATGGCATCCCCACGTGACACCTATATATATATATATATATATATATATATATATATATATATATATATATATATATATATATATATATATATATATATATATATATATATATATATATATATATATACCAACGCAGCATTTATTAGAACAATAAAAACCCATTGCTCACTGTGATGTTTATTACTCACTGTAATGAAAATAAAATGAAAAAGAATATGAAGCCGATTTTCACTATATATTTCACTATATTGGAATAATATTTCATGGTAGATCGTTTTCATCTAAAAAATTTGCAAATCTTTTTGGATCACCTTTGACGTCTGTAAACCTCATTTTGTACATGGCTAAAACAATTTTAAATGCCAAATAATCATTTCCAAATAGTTGGCAACTTTCACTTTCAAAAGACTGTAACGCTAAGCGAAATGAAATCGCAATTGTGCCAAGAGGATTATTCAAGAAATGGCTATTCAGTTCATTCAAAATCTTGCCCCAGGTTGCAAGTTATAGTAAAATGGTTGTCTGCAACTCTGTTTTACATTGTGTTAAATATATTTTCAATAATCGAGTTGCGACATTTATCAAAGCTACTTTGGTAAAAATCTGAATAAACAAATGCCATATAACCAATTAAAGTGCACATATGACTTTCATAATCAAATGCTGTTCCTCCTGGTATGTTAAGGTAATGCTATGAATGTGGACACCTTCTTGTGTTTTAGTATTAAACCCAAAAGTAAGATTATTATTATGCTTAGCCCAATCTGCTTGCAAACCTGAAATACTGCCATGTTCACAAGCATTTGCTCAACAATACTTCGGTAAGAAATACTATTGAAAATAACATCTATATAATGCCCTATTTTGGTCATAAGATATGAAATGTTACCTGTTACACCCGTGTTTGGCGTATTACACACATGTCATGCGTGTTATTATTATTACTTGAAATAAATATGGTGGTTTGGACGCTTTAAAGTTTATGTTGTACTTAATTCTTAATTTAACATTACCCTCAGAATACTACATGGTACCAGAAGTAAACCTGTTTTTCAAATAAAATGGAACAAATTAGACTATTAGAGGCATGAATTTAAATGGCAATGTTTCAGAAAAATGGCGATAGTGGAAGCATAGATGGAATCTTTATAAAATAGCTTCAGGAGTCAATGACAAAAATGAAGATATTCAATGTGCCATTTTCCTTCACATGATTGGCGAAGACGCTTTAAAAGTATTTTAAGATATATTCGTTTTCACAATTGAAGAAAACGATAAGTTAACACCTTTAGTTCAAAAGTTTGAATGCTATTTCAGGTTAAAAAAAAAACATAACTTATAAACGTTATTTATTCAATACATTTATGCAAGACAGCAGACTATTTACTAACTTCTTGATTTATTTACGAAATAAAGCTAAACGTGCGAGTTTGGAACCCTCGAAGAAAACCTAATACGTGACAGAGTAGTCTGTGGAATTGGCTCTAAAGCTGCCAGAGAACGACTGCTTAGAGACACTGAGCTTACTCCAGAAAAAATAATCAATTTTATGAGAGCATATGAAACATCTAAAAAAAACAATTAAAAGCCCTTGAAAATACAATCCAGGCATATTCTATAAAAAAACATGAAAACAGAGCTAATTTTAACTCCCTAAAGATTGATAGACCTTCACAAAAACCTTGCTTTTACTATGGATCACAATGTACTATCTCATTTTGCACAGCATATCGCCTAAAGTGCACAGCATGTGGAAAACTAAACCAAATTTGATAAAGTATGCAGGTCTAAAACTAATCGCTTTAATACTAATCGTGTAGGCCAATTTGATCAAAAGGAAGACAACCTCAACGTTGCTTAGTTATATAATCATCAAATTGATGCATCAATGTACTGACGATTTAACAACAAATATTACAGTCAACAACAAAAATATAACATTTAAATTAGATATTGGAGCTCAATGTAACATTATTCCATACAACGGCTACAGTTAGTGTTACTCTAAACTTGACCCTGTGCTCTCTCAAATCACAAACTATATAACTTATGGTTGGCCCCAAAACCGACAAACGCTCTGCGGTGAAGAAAAAAAATATTGGACCATCAGAAACAACTTACACATAGCAGAGGGAATAACTTTAAAATAAAACAAAACAGTCATACCAACTGATATGAAACACAGCTTTATTGACACAGCTTCATTTATCACACCATGGCAACGAACAAACGAAAGCTAGAGCTCAAAACGCTTTCGAGCTCTAGCTTTCATCTAAAAAAATCATTCAACACGACATTCCTGACTTACCGTGGAGTAAAGTAGGATCAGAAATATATGAGTTGCATGGAAAAATCTATGTTATTGTTATAGACTACTTTTCTAAATTTTTAGAAAACAGTGTCATTCCTGACAAAACTGCATTTTCTGTAATCAAATTTAAAAAAACCGTTTTTACGGAATACCTTCAAGTCTCATTGCCAACAACAACCCCTACAACAGTGCAGAGTTCTTTATCTTTTTTAAAGAATATGGGTTCAACTTCAAACCATCAAGTTCAAGCTACCCCCAATCAAATGGTCTCGGTAAAATGGGCGTGAAAATTATGAAAAAAATATTTAAAAAAAGCGACAATCCTGAAATTGGTTTTCTAAAATACCTGAACATGCCTCTCAGTAGTAGGGACTAATCTCCATCCTAACTTCTCATGAATAGAAGGACGCAAACAACCCTACCTGTCAAAGATGACTTACTTTTACCAGCAGTTCCTCCTGTAAATGTTTATAGTCAGATCACTAAGTCCAGAAATCGTCAAAAACAATACTATGATCGAAACGCATCTGAACTCCCGAATCTCGAAGCAAAGTTATTTTTTCATTTTTGTTACTATTCATTAAACTTCTTTGGGACATTATTCCTTTTTTTATATCTATTCGACATTAAATATTCATTAAATTCATTTGCGGCATTGTTCCTTATTCTGTTATTCGACTATCAAATTTGCGACAATCAAAACCTTGCGTCATTATTCCGCCACACTCATTTTGTCTCATTTTTGTTGCTCAAAACTTATGTAGAACGTTTTTGTTGCTCAGAGCTCATGTAAAGCGTTTTTATCAACTTGGAATTAAAACGGCAGGCAGAGGCGATTTTACGGGTGTGTGGAGGATAGGTGGGTATGAAGTTACCTTCACCCACCCCCCAACGAAGGTAATTTTTAAGTAATAGCCGGTTTGAGGACCTTTTTTTTTTTTATTAAGAAACTAATCGGTACTCGGTACTTTGTGAGGATTCACCCCCCCCCCATCCTTCTCCCTCATTTTATTCGTCTGACTCACTGATCTCTATAATAACTGGATAGCGCATCTCTAATATCAAAATTGACGCCAAAATCGCCATATTGGAAAGCCCCAGAAAACTGAACGGAATTTGAAAATACAGAGATTGCGCTTGAAGATTTGTTATTGCTTTACTTACCACTTCTTTTACATTGACTAGATTAAAGTTGCATATTTCAATCATATTGTTATTTTTAAAATGTTTGAAAGTTTGAAAATTGAAAAAGTAAAAAAAAAAAAAAGCACGAACAAAATTAGAGTTGAATGGAAATAAAGAATATAGGAGAACAGGCTGTTTAATAATTTGTATTTGTTTTGTATAAACTTGTTACCTTTATTAATCTTCTTATGTTCAATATACTTTGCTGAAAGTCAAAATTAATATTTACTCTGGTTACTTTAGAATGTTTATTGTTACAACTTGATGCAATCTTACTTTATAATAGCAGTGAGAAAGTAACTTTATAAGTGTAAAACATAACAAAAAAATATTGTATCAAAGATTTTTTAAATGGTTTTAAATTTTCATAGTTTTTAAAAACTCAGGATATGTTGGTTTCTTCCGCAACTGCAAAAGTAATATCATCGACTTTATTATAGTAGATTGAAATTGATAATCATACACTACCAAGTTTTATTTCTGTTGCGTCACAAACTTTTATCCCGCTTATAAAAAGTACGAAAAGCTTTAACTTTGTAGAAATAGTGACATTATTCATTTCTTGTTTTTATAATGTTTTATATTGTTGTTGTTTAAACTTATTGTTATTTCATTTAGAAACTAACATTGTTTAAGATATAATTATAATTGAGAACAACGACTAACTTTTGTTTATGTTAGTTTCTTATGCATTCTATGAAATTTTAAAGAAACACTGGTATTTCAAAGATAAAAACTTCTTATCAGTGGTTGAAATTGTAATTCACTTACATATTCGTTTGAAGTTGTTAATGTACACACAAAAGGTAGGATTTTGCTAACCTTTTTCTTTCCTACATTATGTCCACAATAAGCTTACCTTGCCAGGCCCCAGGATGCAATGTCGTCATTGAAGGTCCCAGCGAAGCAATTGCAATTGCATTATTCAACAGTCACCAGCTTCACCATCCTCCAAACTCGATTGACACTCATTCAGCCTTCTCAAAACACAAGGCACCTAAAATGGATCGCCCCCACATCGGTCAGGATATCTCAGAAGAAGAGTGGGCAAACTTTATTAGTCGCTGGACATTGTTTAAGAGATGTACAGACATCAGACAAGAAGAGATGACAGCACAGCTGTTTCAGTGCTGTGAGGACGACCTTGGAAATCAACTCCTAAAAGAAAATCCCATGATAATTAATGAAAACGATGAGGCATTTCTAAAAGCAATGAAAAAACTGGCCGTTATCCCAGTAGCCACTTGCGTCAGAAGAGCAGAACTCCTTCAAATGAGACAGGGACACAACGAAAGTATTCGGTCATTCTATGCAAAACTGAAAGGCAAGGCTGCTACTTGCAACTACACTGTTCAATGCCACTGCCACCCACAAACAACTGTTGATTTTACCGATGTTATCATACGAGACATTGTTGTTGCTGGGCTATCAGCTACTGACATCCGCAAAGACGTACTTGGATGGGTCTCCCTTGACACAGCCTCCGTCACAGATATCATTGCTTTTATAGAGGGTAAAGAAATGGCACGAAATGCACTAGGCTGTAGTTCAACAACAGCAAGTGTATCAACTTTCAGGAAACAAAACAAGAGCAATACACAGAGTAGTAAAGGGACCAATATAACAGCCAAATGTCCAGATTGCTCAGAATCTTACAGTTTATTTACAGAAACATCCAGAGGATGGAACAAAAAACCCCACAAGCTGTGTCTAGACTGTTGGAAGAAGCTCAGATCTCGCACTTCTAAAATTAACAACAGAATCATCCCAAATGATAAGAAATCGAATGCAACCAAAGATGCTGAGGCAGGCGGACTTGTGTTAAAGTTAAGTGCAATTGAGCATTCAAATAAAAAAATTAGATCACAAATGAAGACCAATGTGAAACGACCATGCACAGGAATAAACCATCACATATTTACCCATGATGGATGGGCCACAGCTCAATTGCTTGTTCATCCTACAATTCAGCTGCGTGTGACTACTAACAAATCAGACTATGTCGCATTTGGTATTCCATTTCCTCCTATTATACCAAAATATATACAAGTTATTACAGATACCGGTGCACAGTCCTGCTTATGGTCTAGGAAAGGGTTTGACAGTGCAGGCTTTAATGCAAACAATTTAATACCTGTGAAACATAGCATGTCGGCCGCAAATAAAACCCAATTTCGTATAGATGGTGCAATTCTTTTACGTCTCGAAGGACGACAACCTAATGGACACAAAGTTGAATGTGCAGTAATGGTTTATATAAGTCCAGACGCAAACGGATTCTACCTATCTAAAGAAGCAATGACCCAACTGGGTATCATCTCTAAGGACTTTCCAGAGATAGGCAGTGCCCTCCACGGAGCTATTAACTCAGGCCCTATAACTATAGGGACCAAAACATCCAGTGAAAATAATAGCTCACACGTGTGCAATTGCCCCAAAAGAAGTCTCCCAGCAGGTACACCCACCAAACTTCCATTTGTCTGCTGTCCTGAAAACAACGAACGGATGAAAGCGTGGCTCCTTGAAAGATACTCTGCTTCAACATTCAACACATGTCCACACCAGATTTTACCTGATATGGAGGGACCTCCAATAAGTATTTTAATTCAAGAAAATGCCAAACCAGTTGCAGCATTTACTCCAGCCACCATACCAATCCATTGGCAAGACCAGGTGGAAAAGGATTTAATTCGTGATGAAACTCTTGGAGTCATTGAAAAGGTACCTCTAGGAGAACCTACAACATGGTGTCATAGAATGGTTATCACACGTAAGCATGACGGTGGGCCTCGTCGCACTGTTGATCTATCTCCTCTAAACAAGTACTGCTACAGAGAAACTCATGCAATGAAATCGCCTTTCCAACTAGCTCGTTCAGTCCCAAGAAATTCATGGAAAACTGTAACCGACGCATGGAATGGTTATCATAGCATCCCGATACGGGTTGAAGACAGGAATCTTACCACCTTCATTACTCCTTTTGGGCGCTACAGATACATCCGAGCTCCTCAAGGTTTTGTATCTAGTGGGGATGGCTACAACAGACGTTTCGACGAAATTTTAGCAGACTTTATTGGCAAACAAAGATGTGTAGATGACACCATCCACTACGATGACGACCTAGTCAAACATTGGTGGCGGACAATCGAATTTCTTGAGCTTGTTGGCAAAGCTGGGATCATTTTGAACCCACAAAAATTCCAATTTGCTAAAAGAATAGTGGATTTTGCAGGTTTCAGAATATCTGAAAATGGAGTTGAACCACTACCTAAATATATCGATGCCATTAGATCATTTCCAACACCATCCTCAATAACAGACATCCGATCTTGGTTCGGCTTAGTGACCCAAGTATCACATTACGCTCAACTTCGAGAAACTATGGCCCCATTCAGAGTTCTGCTTAGCCCTAAATCAAAATTTTATTGGTAGGACGAACTCAACACTTTATTCAACGTGTCAAAGGAAAAAATTATCAATGCAATTAAAGATGGAGTCCAAATATTTGACATCACCAAGAAGACCTGTTTAAGATGCGACTGGTCAAAATTGGGGATAGGATATTACCTAAGCCAAAAACATTGTGAATGTAAATCGGACTCCCCAGATTGCTGTATAGACGGATGGAAAATAACCCTAGCAGGGTCCAGATTCCTGTCATCTGCTGAACAACGATATGCACCAGTTGAGGGCGAAATGCTAGCAGTGGCATGGAGCCTGGAGCAGACTAAATATTTCACACAAGGTTGTGATAACCTTATGGTAGTAACTGATCATAAACCACTTGTCAAATTATTAGGAGATAGGACCTTAGATGAAATTGCTAACACACGACTTTTCCGACTAAAACAGAGAACTTTGCCATGGAAATTTACCATCCAACATCAACCTGGAAAAACAAACCTGGCAGCAGATGCTACTTCTCGTTACCCTGCAGAGAACACAAAGGAATCTGATAATTCAGCCACTTGCAATCAAAATACTGATTTTGACAACACAGAATCACTAATAATAGCCTCGATACGAAACGACATAGATAAAATGATTGCAGTAACATGGGATAGTGTCAAAGCAGAGACAGAAAAGGATACCGATTTTAAAGCATTAATGTTAGCAATAGAAAACGGGTTCCCAAAAAATAAGAACAACTTCATACCAAATCTTTTACCGTTCTGGGAATACCGCAATGACTTGATGGTGTCCGACGGGGTTATAATATACAATGACAGAATTGTAATCCCACCTACTCTACGGAAAGAGATATTGGACGTACTACACTCAGCCCACCAAGGAGTATCGGGAATGACAGCCAGAGCTCAAGCCACTGTTTTCTGGCCAGGTATCACTCACAGCATACAAAGTAAGCGCGATAACTGTTGCAGCTGTAATCGAAATGCACCTTCTAATGCACGACTACCACCCATCCGACCTCACATCCCTGTGACACCATTTGAATGCATATTTGCTGACTATTTTGAATTCCGTGGCTGGGATTATCTGGTCATTGGAGATAGACTTTCTGGATGGACCGAAGCCTACAGAATAAAATCAGGAACATCAGAAATGAGTGCAAAAGGTCTTATCGCATGCTTACGTAAACTATTTACAACATTTGGAGTCCCAGAAGAAATTTCAACTGACGGTGGCCCTCAATTCATCTCTGGAGAAACAAAAGAATTTCTACAACAATGGGGCATAATTCATCGCATTTCATCAGCCCACCACCCACAATCTAATGGAAGAGCTGAGCTTGCAGTTAAGTCAACAAAACGCCTCCTCGAAAATAATGTGGGACCAAATGGTGATCTCAATAATAACGCTTTTGTAAGGGCAATGCTTACAATAAGAAACACACCAGACCCTACTTGTCAGTTATCCCCCGCTCAAGTATTATTTGGCCATCCCATTCACGACGCCATGCCCAGGATAAAATCCAGAATACCTATGTTTAATAACGACCAATTCTTGAAAACGTGGAGACATGCATGGTCTGCAAAAGAAGAAGCATTACGAACAAGATATGCAAAGACCCTTGAATCACTTCAAGAACACACACGTTTTCTCACACCACTACATGAAGGAGACAGCGTCTTCATACAAAATCAAGTAGGGAACCACCCTAAAAAATGGGATCGTAGTGGAAAAGTTGTTGAATGTAAGGAAAATGACCAATACATCATTAAGGTTGAAGGAACAGGTCGACTAACATTAAGAAATAGAAAATATTTGCGCAAATTCCTCAACCCACTAAAGTCATACGAAACCGAAGTTGCATTGACTACACCACCAAGAACAAGCTCTAGTCACTATAACTCTGCCGATTTGCCAACACCATTTACAGAGTATGTCCCAGAAAGTAGCAACAAAGTCATACCATCCCAACCGGAACTAGCACCATCTACAGTATTGCTACCGTCTTCTACATTAGCACCAGCAGTACCACCACTACCTCTACCAACAACTTCAGTACCCTTACCGTTGATGCCAGCATCTTTATCAACAAGCTCGCCGCATCTAGCGATGCCACCTTTATTAAATACTGAAATCGTAGGAGATCAACCATTGAAACGTTCATCCAGGCTACGTATCCCCAAAAAATTCTACCAACCAGAAACCGGGAAATCTTTGACATTAAATGACTTTAAGAAATGAACCCAGAAATTATGTTTATATTCATTGACACTTAAAAACATGGAAGGGGATGTAGAAATAGTGACATTATTCATTTCTTGTTTTTATATTGTTTTATATTGTTGTTGTTTAAACTTATTGTTATTTCATTTAGAAACTAACATTGTTTAAGATATAATTATAATTGAGAACAACGACTAACTTTTGTTTAAACTTATATAACTACTAAGTTTATATGTTGTTACTTAGTTCTTTTTCTGCTATTTTGGTGACATACATTACAAGATATTTAAGCGTTTATTGTTTTTCATCAATCAAAGTATGAAAGATATAGAGACACATGTAGTTTTATGAAAGTAATTATTATTTCAACTTACATTTATCAGCTGTATCCTGATAATTAATGGTTGAATAATAATAAATCTTGTAAAATATTGTACTCAAAAACAAAAGAGAAAATAAAAGAAATACAGGTATAATTATTGTTTAATTTTTTAAATTATGTTAGGTTATTCTAGAGCATTTTGCAAGTACAGAGTGCTCAATGTTCTTAAGAACAGCAATAATAAAATAGTTAAAACACTTATCTAATTTTTGTCTTCAACATCAAAAACTCATCTAACCAAGAAAAAAGATTTCTTACTGGTTAGATAAGTTTTTTTACTAATATATATATATATATATATATATATATATATATATATATATATATATATATATATATATATATATATATACTATTATTTTTATTATTATTATTATTATTATTATTATTATTATTATAAATATATTTCAGACAACAGGCAGATACAATTTAGGTGCCAGGTCCATAGTTTTTACAAGAAAAATATTTTTTTTAACTTTGATTAAGAGAACACATGGAATTATTTACTAAGAAACAAGCTATCAACTTTTTACAAGAAGCATGTCTGTAGTTCGAGATAATTGTATAAAGAGATGGTAATCTGTGCTCTAAAAGCATGAGATCATACTTGTTGTAGCCAAAAAACATTTTAGCACATTTGTTGTAGCAATAATGAAGGCGTGCCATTGTTTTATCATTATAATTTTGCTGCAGAGGAGCAGCATATAAACAAATGTAATATGATTTAAACAATTTGACCTTTACTCTGGTAGAGCATAAATGAAAGTGTCTAGTTAAAATATTTATACGTATGTAAAGACCCTTCATCTCCTTGGTTATATCAAGATCATCAGTTAGGTCATTTTTAATTATATGGCCAAGTTATTTAAAAGATTCAACAAAAACAATTTTACAGCCTGATATGCATAATTCTGGGAAGGAGTTTGATATAATTTTTGAGTTGGGTTAAACACCATACATACAGTTTTCTTTGTGTTAAAGAATATGTTAATTAAGGAAGATTCCTTATTTGTAAAGCTAATTAGTTTTTGATGAGAATACCAAGATGGTGCAATTAAAACCATATCATCAGCATAAGCCACCTATATTACATCCAATACGTAGTTTTGAGATTAATAAAATCATATTCTGTATGTAAAAGTTAAATAGAAGTGGGGACAACTCTAAAACTATTTGATTTTGTTTTTTGCCATCGAACAAACATTTGTTGATTACTATACCAAAATGTAAGCAAACTAACAAGTTTTTTGGGTAACCCATTATCTAGTAATTTCTGAAACAACAGCCAGTAATTGTTTTATTAAAATGTTTTATTAAAGTATATATATATATATATATATGTATATATATATATATATATATATATATATATATATATATATATATATATATATATATATATATATATATATATATATATATATATATATATATATATATATATATATATACAACTACTATTTACTGTCTAAGAAACCTTCGGGTTGAGTTACACTAACATAGCCCAACTAATGATTCATACAACAATGAATAAGCTGTTTACTTTGCAAATATGTTACAAGACTCAGGCATTTTGCAGAGGGTAATTAAGAATCAAAAGGTGCATACTGATTTACATTGTATCTATCTATTTGTGTGTGTGTATATATATATATATATATATATATATATATATATATATATATATATATATATATATATATATATATATATATATATATATATATATATATATATATATATATATATATATATATATATATATATATATATATATATATATATATATATATATATATATATATATATATATATATATATATATATATATATATATATATATATATATATATATATATATATATATATATATATATATATATATATATGTTATATGAATGTTAATTAAGAACTGATATCTATAAAAATAACTATATAAGATTTATTGTAGATAATAATATTATTATTATATTAACTTCCTAAAATATTGCTTCTTTAACACTCAGTTCTTTTCCTTTTTTGCACCCATATGCACAACACTCTGAACCTCAGGGATCTTTTTTTAATCCGCACATTATTGTATATTCAACTTAGCTGAAATCTGATTTTAAAGCGATTAGTCGAAAAACTAAGCCAAACGCTTACTTAAAGGTTTTTTTAAAATGAAAATAATAAATAAATTTTTTAAAAGGCTTACTTATTTTTTAAAAGGCTTACTTATTCAAATATCTGGGGCTTTCCAATATGGCGATTTTGGCGTCAAAAAATTCAAAATTTTGTTCAGAGTTGCGCTATCCAGTTATTATAGAGATCAGTGGTCTGACTGCAGGATATTATTTAAAATAAATCCTATTAAAAAAAATAAGAAGAAAATTGCAAGAAATTTTTAATTTTGCGTAAATAAAGAGTTGATTAAAAATGTACAATTTTAAGCTTTATTCACATCCGCATGTTTAATTACATAAAGTAAAAATAATTTTAAAAATATTATAAAAAAACAACAATGATATTTCAAGCGGTGGTTGAAATATCATTGGTATTTTTTGAAGAATTTGTTGTTTTTAGTTCTAAATTGGTAAATTGTGTGCGCTAAACAGATTCAATTAAAAAATTTTGTATTATAAATTTAAATTAAAACTCGTGTATTTTCTTAAGTGCGCATTACACTTATAAAGTGACATTAAGTTCCTTTTGGCAAAATTATTTTTCATGCACACGCACATTTTTCTTAAAATTTTACGTAAAATTGGATTGTTCTTACGAGATGTTATAACTAATAAATAAGTTTAACTAATAAAAAAATAAAAAATAAAATATCAAAAGTTTTGCTTGCACAGTTTTTAATTAAACCAAAAATCAAAATAGCTATTTAAGTGCAATGAAAGTCACCTCGCAAAAGTGCATAAGATCGTTTTGAAAAGAAAGTCACCGCGAAAAAGTGCATATGATACTTTTGTTTTTTTTTTAGGTTAATTTAGCATTGCGTAATGTAGACAATCCCTAAAAGAATATACCCCCACAACGAATTCCGAGAAATGCATGCGCGCGCATACTTCTTATTATAATATTAAAATTATCTTCAATTGCAATTTTTTATCATTATTGTTTTTTTTTATAATTCAGATAATGTTAAAAAGGTGCTATACTGTATACAATAAAAGCATACCAATGTAAATACACATGCATCAATATCAGCATACTTGTTATTATAATGGTTGTTGTTATTATTTTATTTAAATATCAAAGTACCAACACAGTGTGTTGGTACTTTGATATTTAAATAAAATGATATTTTAAAAAAAATATATTCACTTTGATATTAAAAAAAAATTTACTTTGATATTTAAAAAAAAAAAAATAAATACCAACACAGTGTGTTGGTACTTTGATATTTAAATAAAATAATAACAACAACCATTATAATAACAAGTATGCTGATATTGATGCATGTGTATTTACATTGGTATGCTTTTATTGTATACAGTATAGCACCTTTTTAACATTATGTTGTTGAACATGTGTGTTGAACACACAGTGTGCATTTGTTTATGGTTTTTTATAACTTTTTATATTTTTTATATTTTTTATATCAGATGCAGAATGCATAACTGCATCTATGTAGAAAACATCTATAATGTTTTAATATTTAGTCTTAAATATTAGGAGGTTTTTAAAATTTTATCAAAAATAAATCTAATACGTTTAAATACGCTCACATCATTTGCAAATATCATTCGAACAATTTGCAAGGTACAAATTATTTGCATCATATCATAATGCAAAATTGTTTGTAATAAAGTTACTTGCATTTTTTAATACTGCTTTTTTGTTATTGTTTTTTTTTTTTTTTTTTTTTTTTTAGAAATCCAATATAAAAGAATTCTAGATAATTAACTTCTATTAAAGTTTTAATGAATAACAATAATAACAACCGTGGAAGAAGAAATAATGATAGAAGAAGAAGAGGAAGGTTTGTAGATTCTTTATAAATTTTAATTGAGTAGTATTTTTTTTTTGTTTATAGTAATCTAAATAAATATTAGTATAAACATTTATTTATAGTAATATTTATTCAGATTACAATAAACAAATGTGTTTTGATACATTTATAAAAATTTTTAATGCTCAGGATTTTATCTTTACTTAACTAAAAATTTAATAAGTCACAATAACATATTGAAATTTTGATAATTTAATTGTCATGCTTTTCAAACATAACTAAGTTATATATAAATAAGTTATCATTTCTCTTTGCTATGGCTTTTTTTTTTCAAGATTTGTGTTACAGAGTTCTATATAGCATATATATTTAAACAGAGTATATACTTTTGAAGCTGGTGTTCCAGTTCCTAATATCTTAATAGAAATACACATTTATAAAATCTACATGTTAAAATGTGGTAGTGGTGAAGTGGTAGAACACTTCATGAGCAAGAAGTTACCAATTTGTACTTAATAATTTCCCATGATTCTAATTTTTCACAATACCCTTTTTTCACAAAAATAAAGATCATGTTTGTATATGATATTACTACAAAAATATTTTACAGATTTTGGCAAAATTAAAGGCCATATCACTGTATCATATGTTTATCAAATAATATGTGATACAATGCTTAAACATACGGTAAACCATTTTATTGCATTAAAAAAATACATATCTAAAACAATTATTACACAAGGTTATTTAAAAAAAATTTTTGAATTAATTTAGTTGAATTCTGTAACGTTAACATCATATTGTATTTGTAAATATTCCGATGCAGTCTTAAAAACTGCACTTGTATACTTATAGTATGCTGAGAGTATTCAGATAACACTACATATGTAAAACTTTCATTATTAAAACTTTCTTAGGCTTTCTTTTCAAAGCACAGTGGTCTAAAAAATTGATTTTTGGCCAAAATTATTATTTTAATTTTTTATACTAAATCAATAATGCTGAATCCAAATCTGAAAACAGTTTTTGATTTAAAGGTTTTGTTGTTCAAATATTGCAGATAAGCAGCCCAAGAATTTCAGAAATATTTTTTATTTTTTTGCTTGCAGTATGTGTGTGTGTGTGTGTGTGTGTGTGTGTGTGTGTGTGTGTGTGTGTTATGGTTGCAGTGTGTGTGTGTATATCATTTTTTTACAATTGAGGGGGTTAAAACTTTATATGGTCATAATTTTTGAAAAATAAAAAATTATTGGATAAAATTTGAAATTTGTTGATGAATATAAACTTAGATTAGAATACTAAAGAAATTATTTTATCAACTTGTTGCTCCCACGTTAAGGGCTGGGTGGGCCCAAAAATTGGGGTTTTTTTGTCCCCAAGCTCTTATCACTGCAACTTTTTGCAAAACATTCTCATTTGACATAAGCATGAACACACAAAAAAATGAAATTTACACAATACCTTTAAGTGTCAAAACTCAAGCATCTAAAAGTTCGGTGTACACCACTGATATATATATATATATATATATATATATATATATATATATATATATATATATATATATATATATATATACATCGCTACATCGACTATCTTATAGCCTGACTCGCAACGGAGTGCTGCTACATCGACTGACAAATAGCCTGACTTGCAACGGAGTGCTGCTACATCGACTGACAAATAGCCTGACTCGCAACGGAGTGCTGCTACATCGACTGACAAATAGCCTGACTCGCAACGGAGTGCTGCTACATCGACTGACAAATAGCCTGACTCGCAACGGAGTGCTGCTACATCGACTGACAAATAGCCTGACTCGCAAGGGAGTGCTGCTACAACGACTGACAAATAGCCTGACTCGCAAGAGAGTGCTGCTACATTGACTGAGGGTTTGGTTTGGCCAGGCAGTCTATCAATTAAAAAAAAAAATTTAATTTTTAAAACTTTTTCTGGTCTGGTTTATTAACGCGCTCTTTAAAACTACAGTTTATGGGAAACTTTTTTTGATGCCATGCAAGAGACATGCAAGAGTATATATATATATATATATATATATATATATATATATATATATATATATATATATATATATATATATGTACATATGTTGTATTTTTGCAAAAAATTATTCATTGATTTTTAATCGCTCTCGGATACGGTTATTGACTTTTCTTTCAAGAAAAAATTTGAAACCTATATATTTTTGAATAGTCTGGGTAATGTTTTGTTTAAAAATAATAATAACGAAAACTACAGATTTTTTTATTTTTAATTTTGGTCTGTGTTTAATTATTATTTAAAGAATCTTTTTTAAAATATATTTATGCAACAATTTTATGTCAAATATTTAATATTACTTCTATAATACTACAAAAAATTTAAGTTTTGAAAATTTTAAAATTTAATAATTAAACTTCAAGATGGTATACTTAAGTAATAGTCTGTTTAATAAGCAAAAACAACACAAACAGTCTGGCCTTTGTCTAGATAAAAAAATCCCCTGAAATTTTTTATTTAAATTTCAATTTTTTTATAATAATTTAATTATTCAATATTGTTACAAATCAAAAAAAACTTAATTTAAACAAAAAAATTTCCATATTAAATACTATGAGCTAAATGTGAAGTCCTGTGAAACTTCTGCTAACTTACCTAGCATTTCGTTTTGCTAAAAACCTTTTTTACAATAAACAGTTATAGTTCCTAAAAAACAACAAGTATTTAAAAAAAAAACATACTGGAAATAGTAAATAGAGTTTTTACAATTTTTCTTCATAATATAAATTAAAAAAATGTCTCCAAAGTTATGTTTATGTCCAAAAAACATAACTTTTAAAAACTTAGAAAGTTTCAGTTAAAAATGAAAGTATCAATTAGGAAGGTTCCTTGTCAAATCTGGCACTTTCAAATGAAAAACTATGAAGATAAATGCAAGTCATTAGCTTACAAATGCTGCCAATAACAAGTTTCTTAAGCAAAGTATAATAACTACATGTAGCATCAGTTTTAATAAAGAATAAAATTTATGTTAATACATCAGCTATAATCACTAGCATTATAAAATACTAGCTGAGATTGGGCCCGTAAAAATACAGGTCTTTGTAAATCTATTCCAAACCACGCTTTTCTATACTTTTTCCTTATATATCCTAGCTTACCAGATTCGAAAAATTCAGGTCTTTACCATTTTCCATATCTATTCCTCACCGATTATTTCTATACCTATTTCTTTTTTCTTTAATATAAGTAAAATAATAATAAATAATTTATTAAAATAATTTATTCTGAAAAAAAAACATTAAATGCAAAAATCTTAACATGCGCACCTTTTCCGCATACACAGAGCTTATAAGAGACTTATAATTAGGTTTGTTTTTATGCTAAATATTCATTGATAGTTCAGAGGTTTAATGCGCTGTCATCAGTGTTGTTTTGTAGGGTTTAAGACCTCCTCCTAGCATAATAAATTTAGAAATTTTTTCAATCTTGCTTAAATATTTATAGTAAAAAAAATAATAATATAGTAAAAAAGATTTGTAAAATTTAAAATAAAATTTTAAAGTTTTTTATTTTATAGATATATAGATATTAGGGTTATGACTTTTTGACTTTTTTAAAAAAAAATTTCCTGTGTGATAAATCAATGAACTTTTATTAGAAAATATTGAAAACATATTCAATTCCTCTCGGTTGTAAAAAAAGGTCACCTGAAGTTCAAATTACATTTTGTCATTTGTTTACTCTTGTTACTATTACTACTAATACGTGTGGCTATCCTGCAAATTATTTAAATTAGAAGTGTTTAGAACTTTAGAACATTTTGGAAAATAACAGAATATTTTAGAAGATTGTAGAGCATTCTAGAACAATTTAAAACATTCTGGAACAATTTAGAACATTCTAGAACAATTTAAAATATTTTCGAACATTTTAGAACATTCTGGAATATTCTAAAACATTTTAAACTATATATAGCTGCTCATCTAATTATTACAGAAGCAACACATAGTGTCGTACTAGCCTAGCAATAGTAGCATTCAGAAGAACAAGGATGTCTAGACCAATAATCTGTTAAAATTTCAAAGCTCTCATAAAAGAAGAAGAATGGTCCCTTTAGGGGAATATTCTCTGGAAGGAAAGTGCAGAATTCCTCTCCAAAAGCGACAGAAGTTTCCAAAAAATTCACCAAATTGTGGAAGAATAAATTGAATTTTCCTCATCAGGTTATACGAGCAAAGCTTGATAAAATACTGAAATGTTATGATAAATGTGTCAAGAGGGGAAGCTACGAACCCCTTGATGAAATTTTTGATATTACTAAAGTGGATGAAACATGGTTATCTTTGAAGGACAAGCGATTGTACCATCTCCAAGTGGAAAGCAAAGGTGACAGTGGAACATTCTACAGGCCAAGCAGCCAGTAAAGAAATAAACCATGCCTCTAAAAGACAAAAACTTTCTAATGAGTCATCCAATTCATTATCTTACTAACAATGAAGAAGATGAGACAACTCCTACACCAAACAGAAAACATCATAAAAGCAAAATTGCAGTCAACTTGACCGCCACAAGAGTATCAAATGGAATAAAAAAAAATTAGCTCTTATGATTATGATTAAGAACTAAAGAATAATATTTTTAACGCTAATCTAAAAGTTAAGCAAAAAAGATTTAGCACATTGATATCAGTTTATGACAAAATAAACCTTTATGCGTCAAGTTTCCTTTAGCATTTATCTTACATTTTTTTATTAATTTTAATTATCTTGCATACAAATGCTTAGAAATATATAAACCAGTACAGATATATCATTTTTATGGATAACAGATTGTATTTTTTACAATCAGATTGTATTTATTACAATAAAAAATTAAACAGATTGTATTTATTACAATAGTAATAAATAAATAGTTTTTGTCTTTATTAGAATATATCCCATAAAAATATATTCCATATATTTTTATGGTATAACTTTAAGGCATTTAAAAGAAAAGAGTTTTTTAAAAAAATTGGAATAAAATCTTAT